GGTGATGTCCAAAAGAATGATTGATAACGGAGGAAGTGATCCCATACCTGGTATGGCATGGCATACAGCAGGGCATCATAAGGAATAAACACATAACCATCGGACACCATCCCCATGTCCAGGGCAGCTAGTAAGAGCTCTTTATGATGCTCTCCACCAATCAGAACGGAGCTCATGCACATTATGACAACTGAAAAAGAGAAATGATTTTAGACCTGGTGTCACATTAACAGTTTTAAACCATTAATAAATCAGCTCTGACCTTTCACCATGTCAGCCTCTCTGATCCTGTTCAGCGCCTCCCGAGCGCTACGCTTGTCTTTTGTTTCCATAGTAACAACAGGGCCCACTGGGAGGCCCATGGCTCGGAGAGAGGATGCCACTTCCTGTCCAGTGCTCTCCCAGAGGTCAGTTGGAGCTGGCAGTTAGAAGATAAACAAACAGTGCCAGTAAATATCCATCAAAGCATCCTTTACTGCTTTTAAAAGTATCATCAGAATTTACAAATGATCAACCGTTGAAAGGTGTGAGTACTTAGATATCTGAAAAACGATGATGGTCATCAGTCAGCCTCACTGACGGAATGAGGCTGAAAAGGATTTGGTTTGAAAATGTCAAATCTGGCTGCTGTCGAATGTGTTATTTCATCATATGTAACCCAAAGGATATGTAGGGTTCGGGTTGGACTACTGGACATGCCTGATATCAACAGCATGTAAAGCTCTTAGTCCTGATAATCTCTACCTAAAATTAGACTACTGTAAGCTTTAGAACTTCAACCCTTATGAGTCACTTTTCAGATGAGCATCTTTTTCTAACTGTAAAGTTTGCTTTGAACTGATCCAGTGTGGCTCACATCTCTGTGTCTCTAAGTGCAAGTAGAACAGATAAAAATGCGGTCCATGTTCAACAGGAGCATCAAACCTGGTCCTGCCCAGGCACTACTTCAGCTAGACTTCAGATCAATAGCCCTTAGGGTTAGCCCCTAGGGTTAGGAGTAGCCCTGAGGGTTAGGGGTGGCCCTGAGGGTTAGGGGTGGCCCTGAGGGTTAGGGGTAGGGTTAGGAGTAGCCCTGAGGGTTAGGAGTAGCCCTAAGGGTTAGGAGTAGCCCTGAGGGTTAGGAGTAGCCCTGAGGGTTAGGGGTAGCCCTGAGGGTTAGGAGTAGCCCTAAGGGTTAGGAGTAGCCCTGAGGGTTAGGGGTAGCCCTAAGGGTTAGGGGTAGCCCTAAGGGTTAGGAGTAGCCCTGAGGGTTAGGAGTAGCCCTAAGGGTTAGGGGTAGCCCTAAGGGTTAGGGGTAGCCCTGAGGGTTAGGAGTAGCCCTGAGGGTTAGGAGTAGCCCTAAGGGTTAGGAGTAGCCCTGAGGGTTAGGGGTAGGGTTAGGAGTAGCCTTGAGGGTTAGGGGTAGCCCTGAGGGTTAGGGGTAGCCCTTAGAGTTAGAGGTAGGGTTAGTGGTAGCCCTGAGGGTTAGGGGTAGCCCTGAGGGTTAGGAGTAGCCCTAAGGGTTAGGAGTAGCCCTGAGGGTTAGGAGTAGCCCTGAGGGTTAGGGGTAGCCCTTAGAGTTAGAAGTAGGTTTAGTGGTAGCCCTGAGGGTTAGGGGTAGGGTTGGGGTGAGCTCTAAGGGTAAGAGATACCCATAAAGGTTAGAGTTGGCCCCTAACTTTAACTTTAGCCCTAACTTCAATCCTCCCTCTGAGAAAAAGATAATGATGCATTTCAGTCTGCAGTTATATCATGTAAGGAGGAAGCTCCTGGCATTCCATGGACCCTTCTCATTGTAGTGCGTAGGGAGAGTTGCACGTTAAATCCCTGTTCTCTCGGCATCTCTGAGTACAGTAAAGAGTCTTTAATAAAGTCTCAAATTTTTTGATGATTTTGTGAGAGATGATGTAAATGGTCCTGATGGCTGCATTTCTGGGTGTTCGATGTTTGGTAAAAAGTCCTTGTTGGGTTTATAGTTTTGCTGTCAAAGCATCCAGCTCCCTTGGTTTCTCTTCTTAAGACAAATCTCTGTTCTTTTCCTTTAGTGTGGTTGATTAAAACTTTAGTTTTTTAACACAGCGACCTGTTTACCACAAATGAATTTTGACCTGAGTGCAGAAGAACTTGTTGAAAACTCGATCACGCACACAGAACATCAAACGTGAAGCTTTTCTTGACAAAAGTAATATTCTTTGATTGAGGGCTGGATGGCGGCAAATCTTACAAATTAGATGCAATTACATCAAATACGTTCAATGTGTGGTGTTACTGCCAGTAATCCTGGCCCTCACCTGAGATAACGCCAACATGCGCCCAGCGGAAGAATCGGAGCACAGTGAACAGGACTCTGCTTGGAGGGGTGATGGGGGGCAGGTTTGGCCAATCACCATCTAAGCAGCCAGGAGAGGCAAGTCCCACCTCCCAGTGCTGGGCCAATAGGGAAGCGGCGTGGCACAGTGCGGGGTTGAAGGGCCCGATGTAGGCGTGGCCATAACCCTCCATCTCCCCAAATTCAGTCAGAGCTGAGGAGAGAGGTTTCAGCATTGGATTTCTTTGAAGCGGAGACTCTTCTTCTTGAAGACGACACTAAAACCGGCGACGGCCTCCAGTCCCAGAGCTCCATACCGATGACACACCAAACCCTTCAGCTGGCTGTCGGTGTATTCATGCAATGAACTTAACGTGATTGATGACCAGCTGACCTTTAAAGATCACGTCGCCTCTGTTTCTGGATCCTGTCGCTCCGCATTACTAAACATTACTTTAGCATTACTAAATATAACTTTAGCTTTACTAAACATAAGAAAGATACCTAACACGTCATGCTACCAGCTCCTGGTCAGTCTGCGGTCATCTCCCGCCTCGACTATAAACGCCCTCCTGACTCTCCCAGCCTGGACAGTAAAACCTTTAAATGATCCAGAACGCGGCTGGTCTTCAACCCGCCCAAAAAATCTCACGTCACCCCTCTGTTCACTGAGCTCCACTGGTTACCTCTGGCTGCCCGGATCAAGCCCCTGATGCTAGCCCACAAAGTGCTTAAGGGTCATCTACCCATCTACCTGAATCCTCTCTAAAGGCTTCTGTCCCAACTGAACCCTCCGGTCATCAGTGGACTGGTCTAGCAGAGCCTTCTATCCTAACCCTAACCCGTACCTCTACCCCCCACAGCTCCTATCCTAACCCTAACCCGTACCTCTACCCCCCCACAGCTCCTATCCTAACCCTAACCCGTACCTCTACCCCCCACAGCTCCTTCTGTAGTCCCTCTACCTCTATCTCTATCTCACCACTGACTCTGATCAGGGTTTCTCCTCTGGATAGCTTATTGTCATAGTGATGAGAAATGGAATATTGGCTCTACTCTGTAAGTCGCTTTGGAGAAAAGCGTCTGACAAATGCATAAACCCTGATAATCAAAGATGAATAGTCTTCCATAACACTGATATTTCTTTTTTAAGATTTTGTTGGCTCTAGTGGCCTTTAATGACAGTAGCTTGACAGGAAGGGGGGCAGAGATAGAGAGGGGGAGACCTGCGGGAAAGGGCCATGGGCTGGAATCAAACCCAGGCCGCCCGCTTATGAGGAGGTCCTCACACATGGTCCGCCGGCTGTAGCCGTTAGCTACGCTGCGGCCCGTAACACTGATATTTCTGACCTTAGCTCTGCTGGTTAGTCAGCTAACCTTTGGAGGCGGAGCAGTCCTCGTTGAGAAGTTTCACGTCGTACCAGTATCCTCTGCTCAGCTGGCTGTCGCTCCGTAACCTTGACAACGCCAGGTTAGCGGCGGCTGTCGGCATCGCCCGGGAGAATATGGGGTCACATGACCAGGGACCAACCAGGGCCAGCTTGAAGGTTGCTGGGTGCACCTTCGCAATGCACAGCAACCACAGACATGCGTCCAGCACCCAGGTGAGCCTCATGGTGGAGCCTGCAGGAGGATCAGAATCAGAATCAGAAACACTTTAATAATCCCAACAGGAGGATCCCAGTTTGGGTCTTTTTCTGTGAGTTTAGGAGGAAAATGTGAAAAGGAACAACTAACCGAGCAGAGGCTTCTGAGGCAGTCGGCGTGGTGTTCCTGGACCCCCGCCTCCACAGAGAAGGCAGCAGTGCCCCCCCCCCCCCCCGCTGCAGGGATGGCTCTCAGATACTTTCCCCTCTCCTTGCAGCTCCGAGCCCTCCACAGATGGGACGCCCGCCTCTGCGGTAAGAACGACTGTGGGGCCTTCTCCTGTACGTGAATCTGAGACCTTCAGATGTCCACCGAGCTTTTCTTACTTCTCAATGAAAAGAACAATCGCACTGTGAAACAGAGGCAGAAAACCTGAGGCTACAGCTCAGAAACCAATCAAAGGCCCGAGGTCGCCAGGATATTGAGGAATTAGGCGCGTTTATGTTCCCTGTTGCACAAAAATCAGGCCAAAAATATCACTGAGAAGCTGATATAAAGAGTCTGAAGTCGGTCTCCAGCTCAGCTGTCAGGCTGGTGACTAGATGACTAAGCTTTGGCCATATCTCCATTATCTGGAGTGTGTGTCTGTTTTTAGCATCTGAGCTACTGAATCAGACGTATTCAAATCAGATTTTAGAACAGTAAAAGCACCCGTCTCGTGCCATGTGCACCAATACAGTCATCACCTCCCCAATCAACTAACAATTCTATGAATGAATCATTTCAAATGCAGGAGTTACCTTTGTCTCAGCGCTCCTCTGCCCACACAGACGTCCAGGACAGGAGCTGCTCAGAGACGAGCAGCAGAGCCAGCTTTACTGTAATCCTATTAGTGGATCACTCGCTCTCTGATGGAAGGATGACCTCTGACCCTAACCCCAAAACAGGATTAGCTCTGAGCGTGCCTGAGAACGACTCCTGTCCTGACAGCAGCGGGGGGGAATGTCCTGCGAAGGGTGGACTGATGACGTTTTCAGGGTTCGGCCAGGATTAAAGCAGGACTTGAGTTCAGGTCTTCAATCAAAGGAAGTGTCACCATGAACACATCATTTTTGCTGAATATTTCCCGTCAGACTGGGCTGGAGGAGCTTTTGATAATAGAAATAAAGAAAATTAAATGAGTCCGAACAAATCAGTAAGAGAGGAATTGGTCTCAGTAGTTTTTTAGATCAAAGATTCAACACCAAAACATCTATTTACTAATAAATGAACAGTAGTAAGCAAATCTGTAAAAATCATTCAGTGCCCACAGAAATGACAGAAGGGTCATCTTTTTACTCTATTGGATATTTTTCAGTGTTCCAGCCTCAGTTTGACTCAGTGACAGCTCCAGTGATGCTTCCACCTCTGGTTCTGATGGCGGTAATAAAGCCAGCGCCTGAATGTCGGCTGGCTCGGCCCTCAGTGGGAATCCAGAGAGCAGAGATCAGTCCAGGCCTGCTGAGGGGTAGCAGTGGGAGAGGTTAAACACGAACCCTCGCAGTTCTCCACTAACGGCTGCTTTGGCGTCCCCTGCTGGTGCAAACAGACCTTTAGGAGCCACCGGTGGAACCCTACTGGAGAAACTGATGGATGGAGAGATGAATAATGCAGGAATGGACTGATGGGGGTTCTGAAACGGGTCAGCATGAAGCTGGTTTTGACCTTTTTTCATTTAGTCATTCTTTCCATCAGACACACCTTTTGTGATTTAACCCGTTTTATTTCCAAACACAGTAACCACAGAGAAGCCAACAAGAGATTGATAAGTTATTTTACAGCAAGTCTTAAAGATGTCATACATCAGGTGGGCGTCCCGGTTTATTTTGGGAAGGATCAACAATTATCACAAACAAACATAAATAAGAACCAACAGATCAGCTTTCATGTCCAATAAAAGACCAAATAGTCCTCAATAGATCAGCTCAGAAACAACCGGGGACTCGACCCCCAGGCGGGGTTAGGGTTAGCAAAACTGATTGTCCTAACGCGCCAGTATTAGCTCCTCTGTAGAAAGAGATTTTACTCTCAAATAGGAGAGATGCTCTAACTTTGTGTTTCCTTTTTCAATAGTTTCAACACAGAATAAAACGGTTCACTGATATACGGCAGATGTTTAAAAACAGGAGTCAAATTAATTATTCTTCTAAAACAGAAGCCAAACAGGAAGTTAGTGGTCTCTCAAATATCAAACGGGCACTATCTGACAAAAGTTTTTTAAGTACATGAACTTTCATCAGCCATCTGAGGGAATATTCAGGATCTGATGAGAGCTGAATCCTGAAAGTTTTTCTGACGTGTATGAGTTTCCTGTTTGACTGACGGTCTTCAACCACATGCATCACTACACAGGCTCCAAATGAACTGGTCATTCAGAGGAATTTACCTGGGTTTGGTTCAAATACTGAGTTGTAGAGGGAGAGCTGCCATCTTGTTTTGTTTTTTAGCTTTCAGCATTTATTTCAGAAAAACAACAGTTGGACGTCCCAGTTAAAATTTGGGTATGTTATATTCTTCATTTATCTATAAAAACATAAAATCAGTCACCACAAGGTACCACACAGGTACAGTCCACCTCAAGCCAACACAACCATC